GCCTCGATCGATCGAAATATACGCTGGAAAACAAAGTCACAGGACTCGCGTGCCACCTTCAATGTTTTAAATCGTCGTTACGTCGATAATTAGACCGATGTCGACGGATTCTTATTTACGTACGCGATAGACACCGCGAGGCGATCGAAAACAGAATCAATATGGCGGCCGAGACGTGAGATCACGTGACTCCATTATGCCGCATCCATGCACCTTACGTCCATTTCACAGGGCGTTACAACGGTCGTTACGAGTAGCTTGTAAATTTTTAATAACGCATTTTATGATTTCGTTGTCACCCGCCAAGGAACATCGCCGAATAATGTCGAATCGAAACGAACTGCTGGATCTTGGCTTTCATCGTTCATTTCCATCTGCTTTATTCCAGTAAGCACAGACAATGCTCATAAATTTTTTTCTTGCCGCGGCAGACACGGCTTCCGTTTCGTTTCTATTGTCTCCGGAAAGCCGAGAACCAAGGGGGGAAGATCGATCGACCGGGACTATTGTTTCGGGCCGAGTGTCGGTATCAATCGCGTGGGGGGAGGGGACGTTAATTATAACGGAATTAAAAGGCTCTTCTATAGGAGGAAAACGATTTCCAGAACGTAGGAAATTGCAGCCTGTAAGAGAGAAGAAGAAGAAACAGTAAAGGGAGGTTTCCGGTGATAGTGCAGGGGTTATGGGGATACCGGGATACCCCAGAGGCCTAGGGGAAAAGTAGGAGGGATGAAAAACGGTGGAGACATTTCGTTTATTCGACGGCAAAGCGACGATCTCGAATTGTGAAAGCGGTAAAACAAGACATTAGCTTTATGGAGTGGAATGAAAAGGAGAATGGGGCGGCCGCGAATCTGGATCTTCTCCAAACCTACGGGACTGCCTGTGCTCGTAGTTGGTAAATCCGCTCGCTCAAAACCAAGATTTTTAAGTCGGGAAAAAACTACCCGTAAACTGGGACGCCACGATTTCGCTCCTGTCTGTGCTCGGACGTTCATTATCGAGGCTAGAGACTTGCTCAAAGAAATTTAAATAAAATATGGGGGATGGGAGAGAGATTCGTGGTCATTCGTGAGCAATTTTTTATTTTTATTTTTTCATAAAAGGATCGTTTACGAAGACAAGGGGGGATACCAGGGAAAAATCAAAATCTTGATAAATAAGAAAATGGCAGTCTTCGAAGTTCAAGGTTTGGTATTTTAGCATTTTTCTCTATATGCAAGACGTTAAAAAAATAGTAAAAGTTAATGTTCATATTAATGTATGTTTGTGTGTGTGTATGGTTAGTAGAAGAGAAAAATCAAAACCCTAGTAAATAAGAAAATGGCTGCACTTCAAAGTTCGAGTTTTGATATTTTAATTTTTTTTCTTCATATTCCGGGTGTTAAAAAAATAGTAAAAGTTAATGTATATATTATTGTATGTTTGTGTGTATGGCTAGTAAAAGGGAAAAATCGAAACCCCAATAAATAAGAAAATGGCTGTACTTCAAAGTTCAAGTTTTGATATTTTTATTTTTTTTCTTCATATGCAGGGTGTTAAAAAAATAGTAAACTCAATATATTGTGTGTATGTATAAGCTTGATTCCTTCTGCTTCGACGAGTAAAACATAAAATACTGTTATCCTTGATCCTTCGTTGGAAATTTATGCACGTATAAAAGTTTTTGTCTACCTCTGCTTCCAGAAGATTCGACACTTTATTATGTCCGGTTTCGTAGTCCCTTTTCTTCTGTATTTTTTTATTTCTGTCTTTATTGCCGTTGCTATGTTTCTCGCGATACATGTGTACTTTACTGGGCGTAAAAGTAAACCCTGCAATATCGCTCTGCTCGGCTGATATATGCAACGGAGTAACGGCTCCTCACACTTTACACTCGGGCGTTTGCCTTTTTATTTCCAATCTAAAAGTTTCATTATCTTAGAGCACCGGACTTTATTTCTGAGGACGTTAACGCCAATTTAGGCCCCAGTAGAAATTACAATTGAAATTTATTTGTGTAAATTCAAGTCGTTGGAACATTAGTACTTGTGTTGTTTTGTATTAAAAATTGCATGAGAAAACAGGAAATAGACCTTCAGAGACGACTGTTAAGAAATAAAACGGAAAGGGTCTTAGATTTTCTTCGATGCAACATAGTATAAATTATTTGGATACTTTCTACAAAATCGAGGCCCATTTTTTCTTGTTCTCATACATAGTTAAAGAGTTAAAAAAATTGTTCTGCATCTACTTTTAGAATAAATATCATAACTCTTAGGCATCTTGAAGATTCTCGGATCTTTCGAAAGTGTCGTATATACCGAAGACTATATGGAATTTCGAAATCTATTCGAACTGTTTGATTCCTTTCGAATGGTTCGGAACTTCCGAGATCTCGGTTCGTTAGGCATCTCGACGATTCTCGGATATACCGAAGATTCTCGGATCTATCGAAAATCTCGTATATACCGAAGATTGTATGGAATTTCGAAACCTATTCGAACTGTTTGATTCCTTTCGAACGGTTCGGAACTGTGGCGTCGCCTCCCATGCTCGCCACCAGAGGGGTCGCGCTCTCACAAGCGCTCGACCGACCTCTCCGTTGCTATACAGGGTGTTCGGCAACCTCTAGCAAAAATTTTAATGAGCGATAGTAGAGGCCAAAATAAGACGAAAATCAAGAATACTAATTTGTTGATGGAAGCTTCGTTAAAAAGTTATTAACAATTAAATTCAAAAATTTCAAATCGTTCTGGAAAAATTATTTTCGGTTGCGGGGGTCAACTACAATCATTTTTGGTGAGTACACATACCTCCGAAATCCTATCTACTTTCGAAAAAAAAAATCGAGTAGGTGCTGAAATTTTTCGGCGAAAAAAAATTTTTCAAATCGTTTTAAAAAAATTATTTTCGGTTGCGGGGATCAATTACAATCATTTTTTATCATTACACATACCTCCGAAATCGTACGCACTTTCGAGAAAAAAATTCCTTACTGAAAATAAAATTAGGTGCCTAAATTTTTCAACGCAGAAAAAAAATTGCAAATCGTTGTGGAAAAATTATTTTCGGTTGCGGGGGTCAATTACAATCAGTTTTTGTCATTAGACATACCCACGAAATCCTGCCCACTTTCGAGAAAAAAAATAGAGAAGGTGTGAAATTATTCGAGAAAATTAAAAAATTGCAAATCGTTGTGGAAAAATTATTTTCGGTTGTAGGGTTCAATTACAGTCATTTTTGGTGAATAGACATACCCCCGAAATCTTGCGCATTTTCGAGAAAAAAATTCAGTAAGAGCGGCACTTTAAACGTTAATAACTTTTTAACGAAGCTTCCACCAACAAATTAGTATTCTTGATTTTTGTCTTATTTTGGCCTCTACTATCGCTCATTAAAATTTTTGCTAGAGGTGGCCGAACACCCTGTATACATATACACTCCTCGAACGACTTCCCAATATCCGAGTCGTCTAAGGCAGGGCCTGCTAGAAAGCCTTACTGATGAGTCCACTGGCAGGCCCGGACGAAACGCGCCCCCTCCTTTCCTTTTCTGTCCTCCTACGAATTCTCACGAGATCCCCTACCCGCAGCGAAGCAGCGCCACAGAACTTTCGAGATCTCGGTTCGTTTCGGTTGGAAAATTTGAGCATCGTGACGCGTCTAATCACTTTGTCACGTGTCACAGACGATGTTAAGGCTCCCTGAAATGCGATCTAGTGCGTTCGTCCTATGTGGTGCGTGCATGCGTGTGTGTGGAGGAGCTCGCCGAGTAGCCTAGTGCTTGGCAAGCGAACGGTAGTTGGCAAGTGGCCGAATGTGCGGAGCCGGCTTAAGTCGGTGGTCATAACTGTTTACGGTTTCACATTTCGAGCGAAGTGTAAACCATTGGCGCAACAGTTCAGCGTCATGAATTAACCAAAAGCGCTAATCTGGTGGGATTTCAGCTTAGGCCACACCTTTGACAACGCCCGCATAATATTACTTCGCTGATAATAACGCATTTTCGACCACTCGGACTTGGTAAAATATTTAATTATTTTAGCTTTTGTATTGAAATCGAGGCAGTGGATCCTCCTTTATCCGAATACTTTGGTTTACAGTTATCCCCCGAAATTCCAAACAGGTAGACTAAATAGAAATATAGATTTGTGGATACAACGGATGTAATTAATTTAATTATTTTATTTCAATAGAATTTTGATATTAAGGAGATTAATATTTATAGCTATCAAAGTATATTTCTAACAATTTACCGTGTTTGAACTTTTATAATAGTAAAATTTTACAAATTAGCCTTTTTTAGGAATCCCCGAGAAACTTTCTATTCTATTTTCTACCAGTTTTCATGTTTTCTCAGCGTTCCTATTTACTTCTCGAGTTGTGGAACTTCAGTAATTAATAACTAGTTCTTGGTATAGTGAAGCCGACGATGTAACGTGGTCGTAAAATCAGTCCAAGCTTAAAGTAACGACTTATCGGATTTCGAAACAAGTGTCTTGACAAATATACCATCAGATAAGGACGTTATCTGATTTTACGATCACTATACCAGTACACCGGATTTATGGTAGGTATTTAATACGAGAATTATCGCCTCATTATTAACATAACTGCCTGCAATTGACTATTTTATTCGGAAACTCTGTTTCGAAGTATTTAAATTCGAAATTTTATAAATTTTTAATTTATCTACATATTCAAGTTAAATTGTAGACATTTCCTAAACATTTCGAGCAACTATTCATGGAAATATCAATTAAATTTCCTCATATGTTGCTCGATGGTTAATTACAACTTTCGTGAAATACAGAAATTAGGATTTTCATACCTGTAAATTGATGACTTATGTTTACGAATGATCTATATTTGGAATATTTTAACTCATAAATGTCGTTTGGGTTTGCTGGAAGGCGCAGAGACATCACTCGGAAGGTTTTATTAAGTAAGATAAAGTTGAGGAGTGGGTGGTAATTGTTAGGCCATTCGAGTTACTTCGAACATGTTTCTAGCACTTACCTTATCGAAACAAGTATCATGGCGAATATCAGGTACTTTCCAAGCAGCGGCACGACCAGTGACGTAGGTGGAATGATCTCGACGACCAGCAGGAAGAACACATGGAGACTGATGAGAATAGAGATGGAGAGCGTGACCTGTAACGACAAAATGCTCGATAAAAGTTTATGTTCCTTCCTAAGAAACTTTTCGAAACGACCCAGCACTCATAAATCTATAATTATAACGCAGCAAACGTTCCAATAATCGTTTAAAACGTCTGTCTGTCACTCAGAAATTAAGCTCCGAACAGCCAAATTATTTTGCTCGTAATAGATACAAATTAATTGGAAAATTTAATTACGAATATTCGTAGCTTCGATTATTATTGTGATTCAATATTTGAAATAATTCTATTCGAGAAAAACTAGTTTAATTAGATAATACAGAATTGTAACCTGTATTTTTGTTCAAATTTATACATAAAATGTAAACTCGATTCTTAGTATTTTTCCGTTCTGATTCTTATTGCTCCTTCGATGGAAAAATTTGATGGAATATGATACAATATACACGATGGTTCACGACGTTCATAATATTTTAAAAATATTATTTTTGTGACAGACAGAATATAAGCTTACTTCTCAGTACTTTTCTGTTTAGTTCTTATTGATCTTTCGACGTGAACATTTAATGGAATATTATAATATAAAGAATATGTTCGTGTAGGACGACTATAATGTTGCAGTATGTAATCGAGAGGTTTGCTATTAAACGGAGTATGATTATCAACAGCACTAATCGTTAACTGACAATACACTTTGCCCATGGGCGTGGCACGATATTGCTTCGCGATTGGTGTGCCTTGTCGCGATATCGGCTCTGTCTGTTTTGCGCTATCATCGACTAATCAGAAGTAATGACGATCGACGGACAACGTGACGGGCACGATCATTGGTGGTTGTACGGTATACGACGTACTCTGGTAACGTGTTTAAACATAAATATGTGAACGTAAAACTCAAAACTATCATCTAAAATCATACTCCAGTGATATTTACTTCGAATAATCGTTTCAAACAATTTTAACAAGTAACATATTCCAACTTATCAGGTTTCTAGGTATAAGTTGAGGCTAACTAATTCTAAAATATTGTTTATTTTAAGAAAGTTTTTATACCACAAAAATTTTAATATTTCTTAAAAATTAAATAAGGTTACAATTTTTTAGCTGCTGTCATAGAAAATGATCGTACAAAAAATTTTCTGGGACCATTTTTAAGGTTCAACAACTACACTCGCATATTGTTAAAATCAATTTTCTCAAATGTCTGTTTATAATTAAAAAGAGGAGAAAAAATGATGATTATTCTGGAGATATGAACAAAATTTAAACGACTCCTGAATGTTTAAAAAATTTATTTGGAGACGGAAACCACAGTAAATTTGAAGATATAAACGTCTTTCTTTCCAATCATTTCTAATATACTGAACATTCTCGACTATACCGAACATTCTCAGATATATCGAAGACTGTAGAGTATCTCAAAGATACTCGACTATAACAAAGATTCTCTGCTATACCGAAAATTACAGTACATATATCTCGAAAATTCTCGGCTCTAACGAACATTCTCGGATATATCGAAGGTTGTAGAGTGTCCCAAAGATACTCGACTATAACGAAGATTCTCTGCTATACCGAAAATTACAGTATATCTCGAAGATTTTCGGCTCTAACGAACATTCTGGGATATTTTGAAAACTGCAGAGTATCTCAAATATACTCGACTATAACGAAGATTCTCTGCTATACCAAAAATTGCAGTATATCTCGAAGATTTTCGGCTCTAACGAACATTCTGGGATATTTTGAAGACTGCAGAGTATCTCAAATATACTCGACTAAAACGAAGATTCTCTGCTATACCGAAAATTGCAGAATATCCCGAAGATTCTCGATTATTGCAAACATTTGGAAATGTTTCGAAGACCGTAGAGTACCTCAATGATTCTTAACTACCCTGATGAGTCTCTGCTGCATCAAAAATTGCAGTGTACGTCAATGGTTCTCGATTATACCGAAAATGTTCGCCAATCCCGAGATTTTCCCTACATTTTCTCGTTTCTAGCCCACTTCTGTCAAACATCGATGGCTCGCGCGCGTTATCTCGGACCGAGAATGACGCCTCGATCGTTCGGAATCTTCAGAACGCAGCGAAACGTCGAATTGTTTGAAATTTCAAAATCGACGAGACGAGCGTCTGAACGTTTTGCCGTCAGGGTTCAACGCCTTCGAAGTATCGCCGTGCTTATCCTCGGGAAAGCCTCGACCCGCTAATTACTGTTCGATCAGTGATCGTTTAGACTAATCACCGTGATTAACTGGGCCAAGGAATGCGGCACGGAAAGTGGAGGTCGAGTGCCACCTCCGTCGATAGTTACCCTTAAGAACCGCTCGATTTACAAAAGCTCGAATCGTCCGGATTCTATCGTTGCAGAAAGCACGACTGCAATTCTGTACTATTAACGTCTAAACACGAGTGCAACCATGGTCCGTTTACATTCCAGTTACGCGATACGATTCGCTAGCAGTTACCCTGATAATGTCGTACGTTTATTTTGAATGAAGACTTCCATCAATAGATTTTGTATTTGTATCAGAAATGTTTTAAAATTATTCATTTTAAGATTGTATTTAATATTTTTATTGATACGGTTGTACAGAGAAATATTTAATTTTTCACCCGGTATAGCAGAGGTCGGCAACCCTCGCGAACTACGTGCTGCTTTTTAGCTAAATTATCGTAGCTCTCGATTTGAGTCACATCATTTGAATTACATTTTCATTAAATCTTTCGCAGTTGAAATAAATGCATATTTTGACCGAAAGAATAAGCGTGGCTTTTCTGCTAGCATTCATTGTTATTTATTTCGGTCCACTTCGTGGGCGTGACGTAATTGGTGCGTAAATACGTGTACTGAATATTTTTTACTTATTAAATATCTGCCCATGTGTGATAATTTCTGATATTCGATAACATTGAATATTTTTCTATCCAAAAAATTGAGCATATTCTTCAAATATAGATTTATAAATATAAATGAAATTTAACCAAAGTAGTATAAATATTATGCACTTAAGTTTTATACTTTATATTATATACCTCTATGGTACATAGATTATTTAACGTATAATTGAAATTAATATTTACATTTATGTTGAAATAAGGTATACTTAACGAAAATGTTGATTAATTACCAAGGAACACAAAAAGTGGACAGATAATAAAATATATAAAAATATAAAATCAATATTTACTATGGCCACCCTTTGCTGCAATAATTGTTTTTAAACATTGTGGAGAGCTATTTATCGGATTTACAATGTAACGTTTATCAATATTTTCAAATACCAGTCGTAAATATTTAAAGGTATTGTTCTTGTTCTGACATTTTTCTAATCGTACGTTTAAATTCAGTACGCTCCATAAGTTTTCGATTAGATTCAAATTCGGACTTTGTGCCGGCCATTCCAATAATTTAATATTGGAATCCTCAACAACTTTTTTGTTTTTCTTTTAGCTGTGTGCCTCGGATTGTTGTCCTATTGCAAAATAAATTCTTCTTCGAGTCCCATTTTCGCAACTGTCTCTTCTAAATTTTCGTTTGTTATTTCAATATACTTGTTTGCATTCATTATTTCGTCAATCTGTATAAAATTGCCAATTCCACTCCACGAAGAACACCTCGACAACATTAATAACCCTCCATCAAATTTAATAGTGACGTAATAATGTAATAATACAAAACATCTCTTTGTATGCTTCATTTTTTTTCTCCATACATAATGCTGTAATTTAAATTTGTTTTCATCGCTCCATAATATTTTTCTCTAGAATGATACTGGTATATTTATGTATTTTTTAGCAGAAGCTAAACGTTTCCTCGTGTTGATGTTGTTAATATGCGGCTTATGTTTGGATTTATAGTATCTTAACACCGTTTCCTGCAATTTTCGTTATATTATTTTCAATGCCGCATTTAATTTTAACATTTCAACAATATTTCGCGTTGAGATTCTTGGGTTTTATCAACATTTAAGAGTAATTTGACTATCTTCTCCTGCGGTGGTACAAAGTTTACGTCCGCAGTCTCTTAAATTTTCAACGGTAGACTGTAATAAATATTTTGTATAAACTTTGTCGATCGCACTTTTAGAAAAACTGTACTTTTGTACTACTACACAGTAACTTAATTTATTTCGACAGTTCGCTATAATCAAATTACGAATTTAATTCGAAAATTCTTTTTTTCTTACTTACATTTTTCGCGTTGTAATAACATCTTGGGCAAGTGTCCACTTATTTTTGTCCCTCGACAATCAACCAACTTTTCGTTAAGTATACTTTATTTCAACACAGATGTAAATATTAATTTCAGTTATTCGCTAAATAATTTATGTACTATAAAGATATACAATGTGTAAAACTTAAGTGAATAATAGTTATAGTACTCTGATTAAATTTAATTCGTACCTATTTTCCCTACCTGTCGACTTGATTTTGTCCACAATTGTACGTGTTTGAATTCGATACAAAAATGTTTTTTACACGCCAAAAAAAAATTCCAAAGAACTGAAAAATTACGTTCTAGAGTTGACTCTGTTGTAATGGCGGTCAGCCAAAGGAGAGCTATGACGTCGCATGCTTCTTTGTATTACGAGTAATACCATAAAAAAAGCAGATAAACGGGAAGCATGCAATTTCAACGACCGCGGTGGCTGCGGGTCAATCACCGGACCGCGATATTGCTTATCGATTCTCCCCGATTGATTGACATGCCTCCAAGGCCGTGCAGCTGTATGTTCATCCCTCCATCTTTTCGCAAAAGAAATCAAACAGTTTTTTTTCTTCTCTTCCCCCAAGCTCCGCCCTCCCTCACCATCTCTTACATTCTTCTTGGAACTCAATTTGTCTCTCTCATTATATTCTATCGATGTTTAGCCATTAATCACTGATTCAAGATTAATTATTCAGAACAGTGTCTCTCAACTTGGGGCAATATTCAATATTTTACATTGCATTTGTTTGTTTTTATTTTTTTTAATTTAGGATTTACATTGTAATTTTTTAAACGTAAATTGCTGCTGGCAAAT